GCGTTAATGTTTACTTCAATACAGTGAGCTTCCACTGTTGTAGCACTTAAATATTGTTAACTCACTAAGTTATGAACAGTGATGTCACGTCATCATCTCCCCTTATCCTACAACTGTAGGATCGGCACACCGGGTCTTCGTCCTCCAGATAACTATCATCCGTCATCTCAGTTATCACTCTAGATCAGATGTTCTTTCACCCATCTCTATATAGGATATCACGTACCCCATTATTGTGGTGACAATGCGTGTACGGAGTAGGTAACTTTTGTTGTTTTCGCATTTATTAATTCCTTTTTTAATACTATTATTCGATTGTCTATAAGTAAAGGTAAATAAGAATAAGAATGTCATTTAAAGAGTTTTGTGGCAATTTTACTACAAGCTGAATTAAAACATATTTATCCCTCTAATGGCTTAATTTACAAAAAAACAGAACTTCTTCATTAGGTTTTGTTTCTAAATATTTAGTTACTCCCGTGCGACTTCATCCGCATGAAATTATGAAAATATTATCTTATTGTTTACATTTGACAAATTATCAATTACAAATGTCAAAATTACATGACATGATGATAACCTTGTTTCCTTGATGTTGGCAGCAACTTATGGTCTCTTACCCACATTAGGGTTTTTATCCAAAATATATCCCCCCTAAGTTTAATGGCCTTAAAATATATAGCCTAAAGCGTGACGTAAGTGTAGGGCTTTTTATTAAAAAAGGAATTATTCAAAAATATGCTGTAATTGCTGACATCCCAGGCAACAAAGAAGTGTGTGTTTACGCTTTATTATAATAGTATAGATTTAACTATTTCGCATATAAATCGTTGGGGATTTAATATCCGACGTCCCTAAGTCACGCGACGCAAGGTTAGCCACTATTTTCGACAATATGCGACGGATTTTGGTCGCTCAACTCAAAATATAGCTGATTTATGACACTATAAAGTTAGACTGAAACGCAAAACGCAATATTGAATGCACTCTCCGAAGTTATGTTTATACCAGCTGTTATAGTTTTTATCATACTTATTTTATACACAAAAATCAATTTAGAGTTAGTTTTTCAATTAAAATATGTTCTTTAAAACTTCTTTGAATTTGCTAGTACTCGTAAACGTAGGTAAGTGTTATACAGAGATGTAATTTATCTCGTTGTATGAATGCTTTTTGCTTGTATTCATTTCGTTTTGAAATGCAAAATGCAAAGATATAACGAGCTCCTTTGTAACGGTCACAAGTAAAATATCACAAAAGCGTAAGGTGGGAAAGGTTTGCGGCGTATTTAAATTTACCTCAAAAAGACTTCCGTAGTCGTAGATGTTTGTAGAATAGTATCTATATGTTAAAACTTACTTTTTATATTTAGAAAAACTTCGTAATTGAGTATATGATATTGTTACTACTTTGTCAAAAGTAATGTAACAGAGAGTAGAATTCTACGGATAGATTAATTAAGACACAGCAAAGATTATCGAACAAGCCTATATTTTAGCAGTGTCTTAGTGTCTATTTGCTATTTTTTTTAATATAACATGGATCTGGTGACTGCAATTCCCGTCTACATTTACTTGGTCTGGTCTGGTCCTGTGTCTCATCCGAGGAGTCACGCTTGACACTCTGCCAACGTCGCCGGCGCTTCGGAGAAACATCCGATTTAGGACAATATATCTCCCACTTATAACTGTCACAACTTTCTCAGGAATATGTGTACATCGCGCTTCCTGAACCTGACAATGCAAATGTGGACCATTGACACACATCGATGTATGTGGAATGTAACCGAATTCTTTTGGGACGTTTCGAAGTGTTGGAAAATGGATGGCAAAGATGTTCCGATCGAAATGTATTGTGTCGTTTGTTAAAATGTCGTTCAGTTATTGTTATAAATAATTTAATTTGTGTTGACTTAAGAAGTTTTCGACTTTTGTTGTGTAATCCAAGGGTCCAATGCATTATTATAGCATAAGCATGGTATTATGTATCTGATGAGATATTTTAAAACTTTTTTAAGATTCATATAATATTATACAATGTCCATTTTCTAAATCAGTAAAGGATATATCAATACATTTTCCGTTGCCTTAGTATCATCAAATTCGTAGTAAAACAAGCTGAACCTGTAACCATAAATAAATTTATTTATATTCAATGAGATAAAAGTAACAATGGTGAAGTATGTTTTATTTCTTATGATTGTGCGTACGAGCCTCGATATTTATGAAGAATATATTTACAGTAACAGAAATAATACGATACAGGAAACCTTTGTTATTATATATATCTCGGTTATACATGCTTTCATTTTAAACCAAACCGCTCTGGCCAAATGTTTGGGCTCCCTCTTAAATGATGTAAGTGGTGTTAAAAGTTTGTTCGATAAAATTAATCTTCTTGTATAGTAACCCCGATCGTTGTACTTTACCATTATCTATACCGTTGTCAAATCTAATAAACGGCGACTCCAATATTGTCTTTGGTCAATAAGAAAACGTGTGTTTCTTTTGTCATATATTCAAACAATTATTTATATTTTTTATGAAGTTCCATTTGATTAAGTTGCAAATAAAAACCTGCACTTTGTATAAAATATTAGATTGCGTAAATTTTCACTTTGTATTTTTCGTTGATAGACAGCCATCGAATGGAAAACATTGACGATAAATGTAACGTCGAGTCAATGAACTTGTTATGCAAATGAAAGAAATGAACTGTGACGTCTGCTCTACTTTGCTGATTTTTAGGTTATGATAACCGTCTATCAATACAGCTCGTAGTCTATTAGTAAATATTTAAACAAACATCACTAAAATGTTATATCAGTTATGTTTATAAAAACATTTTAGATATATATACCTCTATGTATCTGTGAAAATCCACTTTGTTTCTGATCTTTTTAGACAGATATGCAAATAGTTTGATTGTAACATAACTAAATTCTCTATTAATTTAATGGCCTAATACAACACGGTATGTACAAACAAAAGACAAGTTAATAGTTGTTTCTATAATAGAAACGGAACTATAACAGCAAAAAAGGTAATCATTCGTGCGTTCTGGGTTCTTAATGCTGTTAATATGATGTCCATACATCGTCGGACAATAGGCCATTGAGACACAGCTATAATTGTGCTCGCGTGCGTCAATTAATGCGTATACACACGCATGTCTGATACCGGGCAGTTGTTCCGATTTTTAAACGATACGATCGATTCTTATCGGTATGTGATCGATAAAGTGTACAGTGGTAGTCGGAATATCGGTTTGCGCTATCGATTGCAGATTACATCGTATGTTACACTGACAATCGGATCGGTGTTACTACATATTTTAAATCGAATACAATCGCAAATGTTATCTTTGTTAATAGTGTATATAGAAAGAAAATCCTTGTACTCATTCCACCTATTAGCTTGGAGGGTTCACAATAAATTAGCTGCATGGAACGTATTAATTTCAAATAGATTCAGATGTATTGATTAAATTCGTTTAACTCAACTTTATATAGCTTTAGTATACTTCGAGATGCTTCCGTGCGAATGCGTGCGAGTCTGTGTGGTTGTGGGATTCATAATCGGATAAGCGTTCCGGTATCGGTTACAATAGTTTATTCATTTCTTTAACTAATTGTTAACTCGATTTCCTAAATATTTGTTAAGATCGGCTTATTAAATATTAAATCGGAAGTTTAAAAATATAGGTAAACTTACTTGGTGCTCTATTAGTTACTAAAGTGAAGTTTAGACAGCCTTGAGTAAAATATACGAATGAGATCAGTGACGCCTATGCACCGCATTATATTTTTAAATTCGTCAACATAAATCTGATTAAATCTTGACATCTGTGTGACCTCACAGCGGTGTCCGACCTTGTCACATCATTTAATCTCGTCACATGAATTTGTAACGTGTTACGTCTCGTATTCTTACGGGATGTAACGTGGGAACGTATCGTCTATTCAGATGAGTTATGAGGCCGTGAAATGCCCCTCGAGTGTAAACTTAAATGTTAATTGGGACGTAAAAATAATTTTGAAAATAAATTATGTGGGTGTTTTTTTTACAAGAAGATTCAGACATTCAGAATAGGTATTTAATTTTTCTAAATTATAAGATGATTTCAAAATTAATTTTAGAATTTGTTAACCCTTTTGTGTTTTTCATCGATAATGTAAACACTATTTTAACAATATCTTGTATTTGAAACAACTATGAAAATAATGTACATATGAAAATTCATTATTCAATATAAATAGTAAGTCTTTGAAGTGGAAAAATAAATTATTTCAATATTAAAACATGTCCGAATAAATATTGTTTCAATTTGTAATTTTTTACTCGCGTGCCGATGACTTAATGGATGGAGGATGCTTGAAAAAATTAATGTGTTTCATATCAGTTGAAATATCGTTATATTTATTTAATATATTAACGTTTAATCTATACTTCTATACTCTTATAATAAAGCGTAAACACACACTTCTTTGTTGCCTAAGATGTCACAAATTACAGCATATTTTTGAATAATAATTGTTTTTAATGAAAAGCCCTAAACTTACGTCAAGCTTTAGGTTATACCTTTTCACGCCATTAAACTAAGGGGGGTACATTTTAGATAGAAAACCCAAATGTGGGAAAGAGACCATAAGTTGCTGCCAACATTAAGAAAGCAAGGTTTGTCATCGTGTCGTTTTGACATTTGCAATTGATAATTTGACAAATGTAAACAATTAAATAATGTTTTCATAATTATATGCGTATGAAGTCGCACGGGTACAGCTATGCTATAAAAAAATAACATTCTTTTTAGTTAATTAAAAAACTTTTCTGAGTATAGACCCTGTGATACTTAGGGGAAGAGTACATTAGGCACCTCATTCGTTATAATAGGATCAGTCATATAAACTCGTTTAAAATATTATCACATTCCTTTGTAATTCCTACTGAATTTATTGAATACAAATTCGTATATTAATGTTTTTTTGTTTGTCTTTTCAGGTGATAGACTTCGGCAGTTCGTGCTACGAGCACCAACGCGTGTATACATATATACAGTCGAGGTTCTACCGCGCGCCTGAGGTGATGATGGGCGCCAGGTACGGCATGCCTATCGATATGTGGTCCCTCGGCTGCATACTGGCGGAGTTACTAACAGGTCAGTCTACGTTGGTTTATATTTACAGGTAACCTTCAGGTGTTCTGTTCTGTTCATGTGAAATGATGGTGATAAAATTAAGGCTATAGTTTGTTTAATAAAATCTAAGTTATTTGAGTTGCTGTTCAGACACTAACAATATCCTAGTCTAATCAAAATTTTTATATATTAAGACAAACTATCTTGCAATCATTAATTTGACCAGCTATCCGAAAAGAGAAATATTTATGACTAGCTGTTGCTCGCTACTTCGTACGCGTGAAAATAAAAAATTTAGCCTATGTTACTCACAAATAAATTACCTTCGTAACGGTGAACGAATTTTTCAAAGCGGACCTGTAGTTTTTTGAATTAATGCATACAAAAATACAAATGTTTCATCTTTATAATATAAGTATAGAAGCATAGATAGAATTAAAACGCACATGTTATAGATTTTACATCAAACAAAAATGTTATGCTTCCGCTTGATTCAAATCTATGAATAGCGGAAGATTGTGGTTATTGAAATGCTAGATTTCGATCTCGTGGATAGATATATCATAAATGCATTAACCCGTCAGCAAGTAACGATTGAAACATATTGAAGCTGTACGCTATTTACTAATACAATGTTGATACTAACATAGACCACCGACAGGCTAAACCATTGCAGTGCTGACAAATGACAAAGCTTATAAAACGTAAATTGATTTTTTTTTTAAAAAAAAAACAACGCCTCTGATAAGTGTATCAGATCGGATATCTGTTTTTGTTAATGATTATATTCAGCCTGGTTCAAAGTAGTTTAATGGCTAATTAAGCAGACCCTTAGTAAAGATTTATCTCTCTTATAGAATAAGCCTTAATAAACCACTGTCGATATTACTTGAAGGCTTACTTATCTTATTATATTACAATTTTTTTTATACAATGTAATCGTTGTAAATTCCAGGGTTCCCCTTACTGCCGGGAGAGGATGAGGCTGACCAGATGGCGTGTATCATCGAACTTCTGGGCATGCCGCCTCAGAAGCTGATAGAACAGGGAAAGAGGGCAAAGAACTTCATCAGCAGCAAGGGTCTGCCGCGGTACTGCACAGCTACTACGCTACCAGATGGCACTACTGTGCTCAGTGGAGGTAAATACAAAGCTATCTTTTTAACGCTTGAGAGACCCTTAGTTTTGATTTCTCGCCCTAACTAAGGTAGACTAGCATTTTCTCGTTTACCGTATGTCTATGAGCCTTGCTGAAGTTAGAATATTTTTGTAAAAGCTTTTTTTAAGGAAAATTCGCAATTTATCTGGTGTAATAAGATTGGAATTTGTGCAAATGCAAGTTTCATTGTATTGTCGTATTTGTTTTTAAATGTATGCGTTAGAAATGCTTAAGCTGAGGACACATTAGAGCTATTACAATTGGCGAACAGTGTGTGTAGATTTATCGCTAGGATTTTTTTGTACAGTAAAAGTACAGTAAAACCATACAATTAACACAATTCTAATTGATTTGAGAACTTGAATTTTTGGATGTTTGTTTTAAATACCGTCTCTTTTTCTTTATTAGCTTTTAAAAAATAATGTATCATTATTATTAAAAATACAAAAATGATTGTATCACATACACAGTCGATAACCACCTTTACTAGAATCTTCAGTTCATGCTGCATACAGATCATACTTATTTATATCGATATGTCACAGAGTTGACAAAAAATATAAACTCGTCGACTCTCACCATTCCCATACGACTACGTCAGTACTGCAGTACGCTCTGAATCACAAATTCCACACCCACTGAGAGATTTTTTGGCAGGAATCTAAAGATTATCATAGGTTTTAACACAGGTTAAATGTGTGATTCAATAGTTAAGTATGGATGACGGAAATTGATTATTCACTTCCTAAGATACAGTTCAGCAATTAAAACATATGGAATAGACTTTTTTATTCATGTAATATAAAGCCTACAGCTGTATACTGGAACGAATCTTAAACACTTGGCTTCGTATGTGTTGTTAACAAAATGTTAATCGAATTTGGAGTTGGCGTGGCCTTATCTTTTAAGACGCTGTTAATTTAAAGTCGTTTGAATATTAGGCCGTTTGTGACTTAATTCTATATAGTTCAGTTATGTACAATAGTTCAGTTCGTTATTAATTTAAAGGAAGGGACATAAAATGTCAACTAAATGGAGTTTTTATAGGAACGAAAAATTATATTTGATAGTCGGTCATGTCTATAACTAATGTTGTGAGTTTTAATTCGATTAAAGATTTTTATACTAAATCTTCCTAAATTACTTGACATTGATTAATTCACGATTACCAGTAAATAGTACTCAGATATATAAAAATAACACATGGGTCCCACTGGCATACATTGTAAAATTGTTACGCAAATATTTTGTTGACAATCTGAAGCAGTCTAATTAAGATAAATTCAAGTGTCGACCTAGATCCTGTTACAAGGTTTGGAGAATTTCTAGCAAATAGTTTTTTTATGTATTCATTTGACGTTCACTTTATTAAACAATAATTTGTTGCTCCAAATTTCGTTGTAAAAGACAAAATTATTTAACACTGGCAAGGCCTTCAATAACATATTTTGTTATGTACTACTCGCCCAGTGCAATACCACGACCACACATAAGACTGGCGGGAAGTGGATGCGATTCCGCGTTTCGCCTAATGAGTGTTTGTGTCGCATATAGTCCACTTTCCATACCCATTCTTTAACTATAATGAAATGGTTTGAAGGAAATGTAGATTTGGAAAAGGAAAAGACGCATGGTAAGGGAAAATCCTCTTTCTGTGCATCTCTTCCTTTGTTTATTATAGATAGGCATAGGTAAATGACGAATTTTTTACCGGCCACCACTTGCCACTTTAGCCGGCTTAGCTGTTCCGGCGAACACAGGTAGCGGCTTGCGGGTTTGCTAGCTTATTAAAAAAAAAAAAACAAAGTAAGATTAAAAGCAAAATGCGACGTTGGTCTGATTAAATTTCTCCTTACAACTAAACACCAAAGCAGTTAAATTATAAGGAAAATGAAACATTCCATAAAATGTAACATTTAACAAACTATAAAAGCTCGCTGATGTAATGTTATACTGAATTTATCGCGTTCATACAAATTATTGCCCATAAAGGTGCTGACATACTGTTGTGGAAATAGTTACCTTTGCCGATATTTTCCATTAGTTAAAAAACTCAGTAAAATTTGTTATGTACTTCTGTAAAATACTGTAAAATTTTAATAGTAACGCACGCACTCTGGCTGTTCTTCCAAAGATTCTGCAGTACTATTGATTAGTATGCTTGTAAATAGTTTTATCCTTATTAGATTCTTATATTGCCAAGTCTAGTCTAGGCTCTGTCAAGTTCAGACATAAGTCAATAAGAATTGGCTTATTGCCAACTATGAAAATGTAAAGATTGAACAGTTGAATAAATAGCTTACGAACATCGAACATTAGTCGTCTCGTCTACCAATAGAATAGAACAAAATAGATTTACAATAAAGACCTCGAATTAGGGATACGGAACATTACCAGTAATTAAATGTTGAAATAGATGATACGACGAGTAGCGAATTTCTGCTCTATTTCCTAATGTTCATTCTAATCACTCTAGTGTATACGCAACATTACTTGGCAAGCTACCAAAAGAAATGCAAAGCGAGTGCTTTATGAACGACGACGCGACGCTTGTTTGTCTGCTCAATTGTTACGTCTCGACGGACAATAAACGATGATTTAATAAGGCGGTGTAATAACCCCAGTGGAAATGGATTGCGCCAAACTAAATGTTATGTGGGACGCAATATGATACACATGTAATCATATATCTGCACCAATATAAGTGCGTTCGAATCGCATCTTACAGAAAACCATATTGACTACTTACCCCTCTCGATTAAAGCCGTGAATGTGATCCTTAATGTGTAAATGTTGTTCGTTACAGGTATGTCGAGAAGAGGTAAGTCGCGAGGCCCTCCCGGCTCCAAGAGTTTCGTCACAGCACTCAAAGGTTGCCAGGATAAGTTCTTCATTGATTTCATCAGAAGGTCAGTTGGAGATACACTTAATTGTGCATTAAGCTTTAACTATCGAATTCAATACTTAACTCCTGAATTACTTGATTACAGATGTTTAGAATGGGAGCCAGAGAAAAGGTTAACACCCGCGCAGGCGTTAAGGCACGCGTGGCTGCGGCGTCGGCTGCCCCGGCCGCCGCATGACGACGAGCCCCACGCCCAGTCCCACGCGCACGCGAACTCTCAGTCCCACGGCCACGCGCACTCGCAGTCCCACGGCCATGCGCAGGCGCAGTCCCACGCCCAACCGCAGGCGCTGCCCGCCAACCACGTTAGTATAGCGCACCACGTCAAACGGCTCGCCCAGCCCAAGTGCACCGACAAATAGGTTCGTTTTGGTTCCGCTTATTTTTTTTTGTTTTAACTAAGGCCATCATCACTTAGATTTGGAAATAAAATCTTTTAATTTATGGTTTAAAGCGTTAATTATTCAAAAACAATTCTATCTTAAAAAAAATTAATTGACTTGAAATGGTTAAAAATACATCATTTGATAAGTATTTCTTTTTATTTCTAATCGATCTGAGGTACATGGTATATTAAAAATATTACTTTTGTGGGCTAATCAATAACTTGTACAAAAAATATAAGTGATGTTGCCTTAGTTTTATTTAATTTTTATTTTATAAGTTGCTTTTATTTTTATGTTTTAAGTTTACAATGTGTTATATTATTTTATAATTTTAATATGAAATTTATTTCAAAACATTTTAGTTAATGGTACCAAATATTTTTTCGTTGCGTTGCTTACGAATTATTTTTTTACTTTCAATGCAAAAACACATGGGCGCGTATTTGAGTAAAAAGTTTGTTTTTGATAAACGATCTGAAATAAAAAGTGTAAATCTGTAACAGTGTGTCAATCAATCGTCTATTTTACAGTACCTGGGAAAACTTAGTTAATGTGTAAAATCTCAATAAATCCATGTATTATGTGTCAATGTTATGATGTAGTAATTGTGTATAGATATGGTTGTTCTGTTGCCGGCAGTCGGGGGGCGCGGCGGGCGCGGCGGGTGCGGCGGGCGCGGGGGGCACGGCGGGCGCGGGGGGTGTCGGCGGGCGGGGGGGCTCTCTGCGCACGCCGCTCGCGCGCACCCCCGTCACCTTCAACACGGCTCAAGTCGCAAGTGAGTGATATTGAGATTACATTTTTTGCAGTATTAATTTAAATTTGGTGCCTTAGAGCTTGTCCTATCACTGGCTGATAGAGGCTCAGATAGCTTATAAATAAAGTCACTGTCAGATAAGGTCCCAAAATCTGATATTTCCATCACATATTTTACATGTTCGATTGTTATCAGACAATTTACAATTTGCCGGGACAGGCCCTAAGTGTATATTTAACTATACTAAGGTAGATCATTAGAGGTATCTGACTAATACTATACTGATATTAGGCATCAGATTTGTCTTAAGTGATGGTGTTAGATGTGACGTTAACAGTAATGTTCAACAATTTTGTAAGAGAATAGTTGTGTTCCCAGAAGCGAAGCTGCAAGCGGCGCTGTCGGAGGAGAGCGGCGCGGGGCGGTACTGGGCCGCCAAGCTGCCGCACCTGCCCGCGCCCTCCTAGCGCCCGCCCTCCGCCCGCCGCCTCGCCAAGGTACGCCCCTCTGTCCTAATTCCACCAAACACTAGTTATTGATTTATTTCTGACCAATACGGATAATTAGAGTTTAAAAGTGTATTTACACACAGTCTGTATCCATGTGTAGTTTATAACTACAAACTATACCCGTGGTGTGATGACTGTTTTTTTCTGTAAATGTATAATTCAAATTATTTTAAACACATTCTGTTTGCTCTCCTACACCATGAAATCTTCTATCCAAAATTGCAATGTTTTAGTTTTGATCGCATTTTTTGTGGCGACCGTCGTGTAAAAACGTACAAATATAAAGTGTCATAGTGTTTTTGGCACCTTACAAGTTTAATAGACAATCACACCTTACGAGATAATCAAACATTACCGGACAATCACACCTTACTAGACAATCACACCTTACGAGATAATCAAACATTACCGGACAATCACACCTTACTAGACAATCAAACATTACCGGACAATCATACCTTACTAGATAATGAAATATTACCGGACAATCACACCTTACTAGACAATCAATCATTACCGGACAATCATACCTTACTAGACAATCAAACATTACCGGACAATCATACCTTACTAGACAATCAAACATTACCGGACAATCATACCTTACTAGACAATCAAACATTACCGGACAATCACACCTTACTAGAAAACATTACCGGCCAATCATGCCTTACTAGACAAACTCACCTTACTAGACAATCGTTGTTTTCAGGTGTCATCACTTGAAGCGCCGCGGCGAGCGCACGCGGCGGGCCCCGCGCGGCTCGAGCTCGAGAGACGCAGCCTCGACCTCGAGCGCGAGCTGCGCGCAGACCGCGACTCGGACGCCTCGCTTGACGACCGCGACCACCTCGTCTGATGCCGCCCGCCCCCGGCCCCGGCCCCCGCTCCGGACACGCCGCCGCCCCCGCCCCCGCCCCCGATCCTCGCACGCGCCCCCTGGCCCCACACGCCCCGCTGTGGCCCCGCTCTGGCTCTAGCTGATGGACATTGACGAACTTGGAGGAAACACTAAGAAAGTACACACACAAGTACAATTGAAGCAAGTTGGTGTTAGTGTTCGCCAGTGTTGGCTGCAGTGACGTGCCCCCCCCCCCCACTGCCTTGTACTGACTTAGATATATCGTGTATGTTTGATTGGCCTTCCAGTAATTTGTATTAAAAAAATAACCGACTTAGAAAAAGGAGGTTTGTAATCTGTGTAAACTGTAAAGACTACTAGTGAAATTTTATACCTAAAGTATTAGATGTTCTTTGGAGTTTATTTTATAACTACCCTACATTGTGAGTCGAAGGGGTCGGTTAGTGATTGTATATTTAGTGTATGCGATGCACAATATTTTTTATGTTCCTACGTAGTGTAATGTGAGCCAGTGGGGGTGGTGGAGGGGAGGGATGGGGGTAGTGACTAGTGCGCGGCGGCGTTATTGATCTCAATAAATAAAATAAAGACTACATAATGTAACGGACATCTAGTGGAATTGTGCGAATACCGTGGTGTTTTACTGTTTTCTATGTTCGTATACGTATTAAATTAAGATAACGTGCGTTCGGTGGAATGTTTAGTGCCTGCTAAGTCCCGTTTTAGTGTGTAGGAAACTCGACCACTGTTTAAGGAAACTCTTTGAACAATTTTGACGACTTGTTAGATTTCGAGAGTTGATTTTTTTGTGACGTAACTCGCTTTTTGGTGCGTTATCGATTGAAATTCGTAGAATCTTGCAGCCTTCGACCACAAGATTTTGACTGAATTTTTATTTTTAACCGCCCTCTGTACCGCACCAGTGAACGGCGTCGATTTGTTTTTTTTCCTTATTGAAAAAAAAATCTCTCTCGAAAATAACATAGATATAAGCGAACTGAAATATTGATGTGTGTGATTTAACGATTTTTTGTACAAAAATCAATTTGTCACTTTTTTTCTAATAATTTCTTAATATAAGTTACTTCGTATTTAGTTAATTTCTCTCAAGTGATATGGTAATGTTGTAATTGCGACGAAATGGTGACCTTAAATCGGAATTCTTAAAGGACTTAAGGGTAGATAGATACAAGGCCTTTTAAGCTAGTTAAGAAGCTATGCTAAATTTTTGTAACGGATATCATAGTATGTTGTGATCGGCTGAAAGGTTTTTATATAGCCATTCTATTAATTACAACTCATAGCATAGCATTATAAGTACATTTTTTGCGTAATCCAAACTATGTTTTAATTTTACTACTTAACTAAAAATGGTTCCTTGTATGGTAAATAAAGTTCAAACATATCCGGATTTTAACTTGAGAATGTTCTAGAAAATATTGTTGATTGAAATTTTAGATAAGTTTCTGTATGGTTTCAGTGTCTGGACTAGGCACATTTAGAACTTCAAGGGATTGCATAATATTAGGATAAATAGTGTCATAGATTAAATCTGAATTCTTCCATTAAAGTGTAGACTAAAATCGCATAGCACCATTAATGTGTCTAGTCCTTTCTTTAATTATCTAGTGCAATATGTTTGACTTTGATTTTTTAAAAATTAATGGTTTTGTCTTCCCGATAATTGTGACATTTTATAAGGCCTATTTCTTATGTGAACGAAGTAAATGCATTTTTTTTATTTTTCAAATAGTTTTATAGTTTTTTCTATATGTTTATTACATAGGAAATACAAATGTACGATAATTTACAAAAGGAAATATCGTTGTATTTTTACTTTTTTTGTAAATGATTGGTTTTTGCTTTACTTCTGGCGGATTTACAATTTGACAATGCATGACAATGAAATTTGACAATCCGTAACAATGAATTTTTCTGCATAGAATTGTATTTAAATTTCTTTAGCATTTGTGTAATCATTAGGAATTTCTATATTATTGTTTTATTACCAAAGGGTAATTTACCTATGTACGCTTCTGTATCAAGTCTACGTTTTTAGCCTCGTATTTTATTCTTTGACAGTATCTCACTATACTCAAATTAAGCATTTTTTTTTGTCAATAATTTTTATTATGATGACTGCCTTTCGTATAATGTTATGCTCAATAGTTTAATGTAACGTCTTGGTATTTGACGTTGATTTTTTTTTATACCCATGTAGCGGTTTAAGGTATTTAGTCAATTATTGTATAGATTTTGTTTTGAGGGTATTGGGCGTTTCAATTTAGACGGCGGCTCAAGATCGCGCACCCTTTATACTATATTATAGTCTGACCAGGAATATAAAAACTTTATTCTTATTATGTCTGTCGACCTACATGTTACGGAGAAATATCAAACTAACTTCTTTATATTAGAAGGCCTCTAGACAAATTGACTTTCTATTAGCGATGTTGCTTGTAGAATCGACAAAATTTGTCGAAATGTATAGAAATGAATACGTGACAAGCACGTGACTTATCAAATGTTAATGTCAGTTTCATACATTTTTGACTTTTCGAGATTTTCATACATTTTTGAATTTTCAGCGATAGCGACAATCGAATGTTACTTTGTCTAAGGGGTCAGGTTTATATTCTAGGTTAGATTATATCTATAATTGTAAGCGAAGTTCAGAGCCGCCAAGTTTGAAAACCTCAATATAAGAGATGCGCATTTTGCTGGCGATATTTTCGTTATGAAATTGTGATATTTCGTCTCGCTTTTCGTCTATCTCCCTCTGTGACTTGGCATTGATCAGTATTACATTTCGCAATCATCAAACGTGCTAACTGCCAGGTAATAGCCATAAGTATCATTTCACATGTAGCTGTTAAAATTATCGCTTTCTTTCGACCGCTGCATTTGTCTTTTATAGTTTTTGTGAAGCATTGTGTTCTCATTTTGTGTACAGCTGCCGTTTCTTGTTGAAACAAGTAGCAACATGTGAATACTATACAATTTAAATAAATGAATTATATAAATAAATGTTATGTTTACTTTTTATAACCTCTACCACTAAAATGAGTGTTTGGAGTTAAGAAATGATAATGAAAACAAATATGGTTGACTTTATTGTCTATTGTTTTATTGTGATTGGACGAAAATATTAGAATTAATAGAATCTTTGGAACGGCAGAACCGATTTTGAAAAGATTTCACAATAATTCTGATTTATTTTCTATTTCTGCGCTGAGGAAGTTGTCGGTTCGTGGTAAATAAAAACAAGATTGTCTTGATTTAATGTTTATTTAACTACATTATATTCAGTAAAGTTAAACAGCAAAAACAATGCTAAAGTTAGATTTAATATCAAAATCTATACTATTATAATAAAGTGTAAACACACACTTTGTTGCCTAAGATGTCAGCAATTATAGCATATTTTTGAATAAATCTTTTTTTTAATAAAAAGCCTTACACTTACGTCATGCTTTAGGCTATATATTTTCACGCCATTAAACTTAGGGGTAAATATTTTGGATAAAAACCCTAATGTGGGAAAGAGACCATAAGTTGCTGCCAACATCAAGAAAGAAAGATTGCTAAGGTCTGTCATGTCATGTCATTTTGACATTTGTTATTGATAATTTGACAAATGTAAACATGCGGATGAAATTGCATGGGAACAGCTAGTAACTATATATTGTTTTTATTAGGTATACGTAAATTCATAATAATTTCCTACTATTGTTTAACACAATGTCCTATTGTTCAAAGCGTATTCCTTTATTTTAATCGAGGCTAATATAATATTTTCTATAAAATAAATATAAACAAGTTTCTAGTTTTGTACCCAGTTAGAACGGGGCTTGTTTAAGGTCAATGCTCCTTAGAGGGGCTTCCCAGTACGGGGTACAAACGCGGTTACCAAAGACCGGTTGCAACATCGATAAGCCCTTTGAAATCGATAAAAATACACAAAGGTAATTTACCAGTACTTAGGACTCCGATTAATATGTTAAGAAAAAGATTTGCAGTATGAAATATTAGCTTTCGCCCGCGATTTCGAGTGGAATTAAAAATAAACTTATGTAGCCTGTGTTTTTCAGAACATTCTAGCTTCCCCTACATCTTTGTCAAATTTCATCAAGAGTTTCAGTTTAGGCTACAAACATCTATCTATCTAAACTTTCATATTTATAATATTAGTAAGATTTATTAATATAGCAATTAACGGCCGTGGCACACAGCTGCGTAAAACCGGAACATAAGCGAAACGTAAAATATGCAGACCAATACATAAATACGGTGCAGTGTTCATCCAACTTACGGTTACGCTGATCAATTTTACCGAAACTAATAATTAATCAAACTACGATTAGCTTTCCTGGCAGTGTACTAGAAACCTTACAGGTAAGTCATTTTATTATTTAGTCGTAGAACATTGTTTTATGTGGAAGTATAATTAGTAATGAGTTGTTGAGAGTACTGCTAATAATCAAAGAACTCGTTTACACTGTGGCAATTTGAATGAACGATAGAAGTCATTTTCACCTGGTGTGTGATATCGACGCAGACGCCGATTCAGTTCAGTTCTTTTGCATTCCTTCATCGGTTCGGTCGCGCGAATCTTTACGCAACAAATTCGCGCGTGTTTTATTTTATCTGTGTTAAATGTTTTCGTGATACTTGAAGGATATTAAAAGGTATTGTAATTTTTATTTAACATTGTTAGTTGTTTTAATGTTAGAGAAAGTCAAGTTTAGAGTTTAAACTCGTTGCGACAATCAAGGGCATATAAAAAATATATAAGTTTCATTAAAACTTTACTTTTAATGACTTAGATACTTGGTTTTTGGTAAAATCTGTTAGATCTAACGTTTTGATTGTGAAAATATGTTCTCTACATAAATAGAGATATAATCATAATCTTTCTAATGTTGTGTTTTTACGGAGGTAGATTATTTTTTTGTTTATGTACTAGTTAGTACAATTTTGATGATATCAGTCAAATATTTTATTTATATTCCGTCTTAATATTTATCAAATAAGTTATTTTTATTAGTTGATATTTAAGTAATGCCAAGGATCAGAAAAATGTTGAATTTTGACATATAGAGTTAGGTTGTGCGTATTTTTTTTCGCGATTCTGTTTTACGAAAAACCTTAATAATCCGTGATTGTTTTATTACTTAGAAAAACCGTCTGCCTGTAATTTATACCTTTAAGTACCCACACTTAACGTTATCTTGAGTAGGCACATATTTTGTTGAAATGTTACAAGTGTTAAAACCGTTTCGTAATTGCGGTAGTAGAGTTTATCCGAAATAAACAATGAAAATAATGAAATATATTAATTCATACGTGATAATATTCTTTCTTTTTCAAATAAATAATCATACTTCATTCTTCATACTAATATTCTAAATGCGAAAGTTTAAATGGATGTTTGTTAGAGTTTGTAGCCTAAACCACTGAACGGATTTCAATGAAGTATGGTATAGATAATAGAGGATAGTCCACTCACTTTTGTTTTTTTTTGATTTCACGCGGAACGAGTCGCGGGCGAAAGCTAGTGTTATAAACTTAAAAGCGATTATATAGTTTAATTGAGTGAGATTTTTTGCTATTGTATATCTTAACAAAAAACTATTTTGATCTGTGTAGCAAACTGGTTAAATAACACACTGTTGGTTTATTTACTTAAACAATTAACAGTTTTATAAACGTCGCGTGCGTTGCTTTGATCCAATATTTATTAGTACTTGCTTGAGTGTTCGTGTTTCATGTTTCATTCCGTCCGTTTTTCACGTCTTCCCAAATCGTGTGACGATGACGACGCACGCCTAAAACTGAACAATCGCACAACTGTTTACTCTCCCTTCGATTCCTATGAGCTTGTAAGGAGGTGTGCACACTACTCGATTTTTAGTTGTGCAACTAAACAGTTGAATTTGCTGCAAAACAATCGACAATCGCACAACAATTGAGCGATACTTTAGTCAAAAGTGTACGCCCGCTCTTAGTATTTTGGTAAATGAGGTCATCGTCCGTTTATGTTTCCATTGTATCCTTACTTGTATAGAAACATGATCTCTCATCCTCTTTGTAAAAAGGCAACGTACTCTCATACAAGAGTATGTAATTTGACAAAGAATTCATCCTTTTCCATACAGAATATTTGTGCAACTCATTAAATATCAATTTGGTATTGTTTTCGGAATGTTGGCAGTACTGATTGTATGAATGTGAAAACATTTAAAAAGAATGAAGGCAATGAGTTAACGACTTTACTTATTTCTTTTGTAATATGACACAGTCACTACATTTTATACCTTTACTAATTCATAACTAATTATAAAAAGGGGAGGATTTGTTTATTTGTATGTCATGAATAAGCTTAAAAACTAATAAATCGATTTCAAAAATTCTTTCACCAATAGAATACCCCCGAATGCTATGGACTATATTTAATACTAGATTTGTTTCTATTACCAAGACGAAGTCGCGGGCAACAACACGTGTACATGATGTTGTTGTTACTAATTTTGCGACTACGACAAGCACATACGACTTAGTGGAAAATGAGTTTAAAAATTAAATTGTTTTAAACCGGTAATATAGTTATATAAAGTTATATGTTTAAGTTTATAACTAAGTTATTGTAACCAAGTTCAGCACTTAACTTGCAACGTGACTAACTTTACGATTATCTAAATTATATTGTGTGACCATTACAAATAATAGAAAAATAAACTTCTTTGTAATGTATGTGATTTTCTTCCAACCAACGTGACTTTATTCTCTAAATAATTCGGTTCAAAAACAAGAATCAAATCGGTCTTCAAATTAAATGTTATTCGTTTACAAATGAGACGTAGTCCTAAATCATTTTTAATGGTATTTTAATAAGTGCTGCCAGCTTTATCTTGTTCCATTTAAAATAGTGTAGTAAGTTAACACAGTAAATGAAGTAAACAAGTTTAGTGCCACGATTTTTATGTATTAAAAAATTAGCAGCACGCGTTAGTGAACACTAAATATGTTGAGTACCTTTTTTGTAAATGTAAAAAAGTAAATTCGCTAAATTAGCGCTGTCTATGGACATTTGTAGAACGAAAATTAGCGAGAAAGTACATATTTATAACATCATCGACAAAAGCTGTATTATT